ACATCGGGCTCTGTGCTGATAGCTCAGAGCCTGGAGCCTGCTTCGGATTCTGTGTCTCCTTCTTTCTCTGCCCCTTCCCCACTCATGCTCTTTTCCTGTCTCTCAAAAAAAAGTGTTAAAAAAATAAAAAAAAAAAAAAGAAATATAGCATGGATGTAAATAAATAAGCACAAACATCCATCTTAGCAAAAAAATCAGAAGTTAGAATGAGTATTGAAACTCAACCTTAGTTGTCTTGAAATTATTTTGGATCAGCAAACTCATCGTGCATTTGGGATGGAAAACTATAGAATCTAAGAACATATGAAGAATACTTTTCAAAAATGTCCTATTATGTTCTCTCTCTCTCTCTCTCAAAAAACAAAACAAAACAAAACAAAACAAAACAAAACTTAAAGAAGCAAACACCTGGGTGGCTCAGTAGGTTAAGCATCCGACTTTGGCTCAGGTCATGATTTTACAACCATGAGTTTGAGCCCCACATCAGGCTCTCTGCTGTTAGCACAGAGCCTGCTTCGGATTCTCTGTCCCCCTCTCTTTCTGCCCCTCCCCTGCTCATTCTCTCCCTCTTTCTCTCTCTCTCTCAAAAAAAAAAAAAAAAAAAAAAACTGAAAATTCCCTATTATACAGGAATTTCATTTTTTCCCCCCTGAAAAAATTGTATAGCACTTTCCTTTTAAAGAAAGTAAGTTTTACTAAAGAGTTAGAGATATGCTGACTCTCAGCGTTCTTATGGACAAATACAAATGACTTTATAGTTACTGCAAAAGGTTTCCAGCTATATCTGTGTTTAACATTTAGCATCTCATGTTGAATTCCACACTCATCAGTGTAATTACAGAAAACTAGAATCATACAGGGACTTCATTAGGATGATAGTTCATTTTGCAAGATACAAATGTTTGAAATATCAGAAGGTTCTCTGTATCATACAACTTAATTTGTATTCAAATACAGGAATAAATTGCTAACTTCCTGCTAGTGAACAAAACAAAAAATCTAATTATACTAATACATTTGTTTTCCATTTATAAATTAATGAATTCATAGCAACTTTGTGATGTTAGCTTATTTATAATATCCTTAAAAAATTAAGGACAATTCCATATTTCACTGAAGCCAGGCTTTAAAAAAATTCCTATTTAGTATATTTACATGAAAACAAGGACCATGCTACCTTCTCTAGGGTAAAAAAAAAAATCAAACAAAGGATAAGAATTTGTAAGGATGTGCAAATCAAGGGGTGAATTTGGGATTCTCAAGTTCCACTTAAGATTCCCTTACCATCTCTTTTGACTGGTGCCACTGGGTGGAGGGCATGGAGCAGCTATGGTGTAATTAGTATCTCCTTAACAAATATCATTATCAAAAAACTCTGTAGAACTTTGGCCCTTTTTGTGATACTGGTGTGTATAACACACACACACACACACACACACACACAGGACCACATTACTACCACAATAAGACAAAATTGAAAAATTGAAAAAAAGGATACATTACAATACAGTTGTACTGGTGTATATGATCTGCCAGAAATAATTCACCAGCTCTATCTGGCTGTGTTATACTGGATTTATAGTGATAAATGACACCAATCCTTTCTTGTTAAATCCATGTATAGTTATGATCAACTTTCTAGAATGACTTCTCACACATATTTTATTGTGAGCAAGTGAAAAACTAATTTAAAAGACACCAACACTGGATTTAGAAGCAAATTTGCACAATCCCACACTCAAATTAAAAGGAGCATTTTAAGACGACCATAAAAGTATACATTAAGTGTGTCTACTATTAGGTAAAACTGTCACATAATTTGAAATGAAACATTACTCTCTAGTAATTGACTATGCAGAATATACACCATAAATAAACACAAAACCAGAACTTGACCAAGGAAAGTGTCATGATGACATTTTCTTTCTCTTTATTGTAAATCTTCAGCACAGGACTAGAAGGCCTGTTTTCTCTTTGTGGAAAATCAATATACTTCAAAGGCAGAAGCAGGAACTCTTCTTCAACAAAACAATGCACTTTAATTGTAGAAGGCCTTGGTTTCCAAGGCCTTAGTTTTAGCCATACTAGGAATGGTTTCAGATCTTAGTTGTGTGGGCAGATCTGGTCTCCGTGGTAATGAAAAAGTAAACCTGGGAAGTGTAAAGAACTGTGGTACATTGCTCCCCATAGAAACAGACAAGCTGAAATCAAATGCAGCTTCTGTATTTAGCACTGACAAAGCCTGAAGCTTCAGTGTACTGGTACTGTACCTCAGTAGTTGCCATGGCAATCTTCTAAGGAAGGTGGGTTACAGATACCCACATCAGTTACTACTGAAATGTCAAATCAAAAGCCAGTTCTCAAGTAGTAATTTATTCATTAGTTTCTGAATTTGGTTTTCTTAAATAGCATCTAGGAGTTTGATAGAGACCTTGTTGTTTTTAAAAAAAGTCATATAATCTAATTAGAACTCCTTTTTAAAAAATTCTAAGAAATATCCCTGAACAACTTTTACTCTTCTTCAGTTTAGTGTAAACATTCTGAAGGCAAATCAATTTAGCTTGTTAGCTTAGTAATAACAAGGATTGTGATACTAACACATTTCTGGTTTGCTTTTCACTTCGTAAAGTGCTTCTACATACAATATTGTAAAAGAAAATGCAGAAACTGTGAGATTTTCACTAGAGTTCACTTTGGTAATTTCCAAATTTAGTAATTTGGTAATTTGATACTACTTACTGTATAGGAAAAGTGAGAAATTAGAAGTTGGAAACATACGTAAGTGTGAATATTGCATGTGTTAATAGTTCCTTGACTGACTTTCTGGATTCGTAAGCGAATAGGAAGTAATGTTTTATCACGAGAGAAGACCAAGTAACCCACAAATCCTCAGACTTGGCATCTGTGAAGAGGAACTAGGAAAATCAGTGGCATCTCCTGACTGTACCCCCGAATCTGTGGCTTTCCTTCCACTCCCTACTTCCACCAAAAGATTCAAAAATAAATAAAAAGATCCATGAGCTGATTTTAAAAAAGGCAGAAATATTTGGATTGTTTCAAGGAAGATGGATAAAGAGGAACCTGGAGGGAAAAACTGCAATAAAAACTTTGGCTACCATATGAAATACTTTTCAAATTGGTCTCAAGACTTAATTCTTCACAAGTAGCAATTTTTTTCTAATATCCCAATATTAACTTGGCACAAATTAGCTGTAAAAGGAATCCTGTCAAACTTGAATATATGAAAAAAGAGTTTTGACTCAAGTGGTGGACTCAAGTTGTTTCACTGATTACATATGTCATGGTACATGATTTTGGGATACTCATAAGTTAAAAATAGGAAGTACACTAATTACAATTTTTAGTAATAAAAGGTAAAGTGGTACACAGGTTTTGCCCTACTTGATAGAGCATATTAATAATGATTTTGACCTGATGTAATAAAATGTAAAAATTTTAGTTTCTTTTATATAGATCAAACATGACACATTTTGCTAAGTTTTAACCTGAATTAAAGTGATAAATCTGAGGAGGCAATAAGTGGTTGAGAGCATTCACTCTGCTGTCAGGATGTCTTAGTCTGAATCTCAGATCTGCTATTAACTAGCTGGGAGTCCTGGATCATGTTCTTTAAACTCTTCATCTAGAAGATGAGGACAGTGACAATATTTACTTCTTAGGGTTGTTGTGAGGATTAAACGAGCTATATTATATAAGGACATCAGCTACTAGTTAGCTCTCATTTAAATCAGCTATTATTTGGATAGATTACTGTTCACTAAACATAGGAGATTTAAACAAAATGCACCACACTATAGATGTATTGGCTTTACCTCAGGGAAGGCAATTGTATTTTAGTGTTTCTTCCATGTGGAAAGATATCTTCTCTCTCTACATGGGAAAATAATGAAAGATTCAGATTTATGAGCAAGCCTAGCTTTGCAGATTGCATTTCAAGTCCAGACTATGTAGCATACCTTTATAGAAAAGATAAATCCCTAAAATGTCTTTCATTCAACAGACAAGTATAGTTCACACGAAGGAAAAAAGAGTTTTCCTGAGACACCACTGAAAGTAGAGGGCAAATACATGTAATCAGTCATTCCATTCAGAATGCCCCTGATATCATCTTTAAAATTATTTTATTCAAAGACTGATCGGTTAATGATGCTGTAAACCTGAATGAAGCAGGTTAATTCAAGACTTACTTTAGAGCTGAGGTAGCAAGTTAAAACATCTTCAATTTTCACTTCCTTATAATAGAAGTTATGTTCATCGAATATATTTCACTTAACAACTGAAATACATAATGAATCATAATAATATAAATGGGATTTATTTCCTATATCAATGGGTATTTTCCTCTTGCAATTAGATAGCTTACTTTAGATACTAATGTGGCAAAGTATTCTAAGTATTTTTTTTCTTCAAGATGCAAACATAAAAGTGAGATATTGAAGACTGTTTTGAAATAAGTGCCCTCTTTGTTGGTTCTTGCTGTAAAATCCTAAAACACTACACATTTCAACTTGTCATCATGGTGAATCACGTCACCTCTGAAGTATTACAGTTTTTCTTGATTCCAGTTTCCTCTCCTTCTATCTTTTCTATTATGTCTAATCTTTGATCTCAAGAACACAGCCCTCTCCTGAATTCACTTCCTTATCCAATCTGGACCGCTCTGACTAGACCCTTCAATTTCCTCATCCTCTTGAAAATGTACTATACATACACTTTCCAGAAATCAACCATCTTCTTTCTTATTCCTGCCTGGCCACTAAACAATGCTAGAGAAAACAGTATATCCAAGCTGACTGGCACCATTCTAAATTTGATTTCTGACTTTTGGTCATTCAGGACTACTTGGCAGACCAGTTGTTAGTTGTTGGTTAGCTCAATTTCCAATTCTCCATTGGGGGTGCTCCAAACTTCCATTAGACTCTTCAAACTTTACTGTCTACCTGTTGATCTTCCAGTAGCAGTTACCTTTTTGACTCCACATTTGTCTCTCTCATCTGAACTGCTGAAATAATTTTCTAACTGGTCTCCCTATCACTTGCATTCTCTCACATCAATACATCTTCCACACTGCCATCAGAGTGACCTTGCTGAAACTGGTATCTGATTTTGTCATCTTCCTAAGGAGATCTCCACAGGCTCTCCATCATGTTTTTTTCAGAAACATATTCTCTAAATTACTTTTTCCCCCTCTCCCTCTCTGTCTGCCTTCCCCCGCTTATGCTCTCTATCTCTCTCAAAATAAATGAATTCAAAAAAATAAATTATTCTTTTTTTCCATTTCTGCCCTTGTTGATGCTTTTTTTTTTTTTTTTTACAAAAAAAAAATCACCCCCCCCTTTTTTTTTCCTCTTGGTTAAATTTTACTGATCCAGCTCAGATGTTATATCCTCCTTGAAGCTTTGTCTGATTTCACAAGATAGAAATAATCAAGACTTCTTAAGGGCTTTTGTGGAACTTAACATGTTTATCTTTGAAAACACTTAATATGCTACACTGTTACATCTGGATGTTTTTCTCTCCCATTAGATGACAAACATTGTTTATGTGATTTCAAAAAAATCTTTGTTTTTCCAGCACTTAGCAGAGTGGGTACTCAAAACATTGTGGCTGCTCCATAAATATCACTTGAATTGAATTAAATAATTAAAATACATTTCAATTTAGTGTCTAAGAATATGAAATGTAAGCTGAACACTAAATAAAGAGCTGTATTGAACAACTTGGTAAGAAGCTTTACCTCACTAGATTTTCAATTCTAGTAAGAAGATCTACATCAAGTCTTTGATGTGAACTATGTGGCAGAGGAGAGAACCTTAGGAAGACAGGTCACTGAGGTTAAAGACTGCTATTTATGGCACTGTTATGTCAAGAAAGAATGATCTAGACCTTATATGAAGTGATAGTCTAACCACTGCCAAAGGGTGTTTTCTTTGAATGACCTAGATTGTCAAGTTATTCACATGTCATTCATACTAGAAGTAGATGAGGTGAGTCAGAATCTCACTGAGGATGAATTTTTAATTATAAATATAGCTACCACTACACTCTCTAAAGGTCCTCTGTTGACAGAGGCTGATTAGAAGGAACTACTGCCAAAAAAAGTCTTATCACTTTGCTACACTAAAGAGATATTACAAGGGCTTGCAGCCAAACTGCCTGATAAGGGTTTATTGCCATGTCTAAAATTTACTCTTTAAGAAGATTTTTTGAATGACTAGGTTTCGGTACCACATGGATCAGGTACAATAGATACAATTATGACATAACCATTAGTTACTATTTTAAAATGCCATATTATACATCTATTCATCTCAGTATTTCCATAAAATATTGAGAATTTAACAGAAAAAGAGTAGCCAAAATTTACCCAAAGATTTGAGTGATTTACCCATTTGTTCATTCCTTTTTAACTTTTAGAATATAACGTACTTTTAATAATCTTTGAAAGCTGGATTGAGATCATCTTAATTCTAAATAAGCATTCTCCAATCACTAAAAATATCTGATTTCTTATATCACTGGATCACTCAAGAGGCTTTTCTAAAGATTCAGTCACTTATTATAGATAATTATAACATAGTTTCACAAACCTAATGGCTTATATCATTCACACTTTCATTTAATTGGGCAATAACTACCTGAATTATGAGCTATTGGGGGTAATATCCAAGCATGTCAGATACAAACAACTTCTGACTTTAGAAATTGAGCAATGGATAGAATAAAAGCTTGGTTAGGCAAATAAATTAATACATCATAATTGTACTTAAGTTGGAAACCAATGGAACAAGTCACGATTGCAAACTCAAGGGCAACCTATTCCTTTTCTGATATGAATCCTTTTCCAGATTGCTCCCATTCTTTATCCTTAAGAATTATAACTTTATAGGCACAATACTCATCATTTTAACTCTGTGAAAGTCAACTGCAAATATAATAAAGTGTTCTTGAGTTTTTACTCATTGGTCAGATATATGATGTGTTAAGAACATCTGGTTTATGACTGCTTTTATGATTCACCTTTGGGATATTAACCAAGCCCTCTTTATTAGGCTTTTGATGACTGACTGTAAAACAAACTGCATTTTCTTTTTTCCTTCTTTTTTTTTCTTTTTCTTTTTTAAACTTAAGACACAGAGTAAAATAGAAGAGCTTTGCATTTTGTAAAAATAGTGTAACTGGCTTAAAGCTCCTGGTTTGGTGTTAATCATCTCAGTATACTAAAAAGATATTTCTGAATATCAGTAATGCGTAGAACTTCCTCACACATTTCACAAGTTGAAGACTGTGATATGATGTCACCAGCAGAAATATTACTGATGTTTAAATAGTGCGTCACTCATGTTATTTGCCTGTCTCATTATCACTGCTGGAGTGTATTTATTAAACTCTAAAAACCTGGGGTGCCGGGTGGCTCAGTTGGTTAAGCGACAGACTTCAGTTCAGGTCATGATCTAATGGCTCCTGAGTTCAAGCCCTGCATCGGGTTCTCTGCTGTCTGCACAAAGCCTGCTTTGGATCCTCTGTCTCCTTGTCTCTCTGCCCCTCCCCTGCTTGCATTCACTTTCTCTCTCTCTCTCAAAATAATTAAACCTTTGAAAAATAAAACTTTCTTTAAAAAAACTCTAAAAACCTGAAAGTGATTTATAAACTCACAGCTCAAATGAATAGGTGGAATTACTAAATTTTGGCTGGAATTATAGAAGAATAGTAATTCCATTCTCTTTTTCATTCTCCTCATTATAGTTGATCAGAAATCAATTTTTGGACACCCATGTCTTTCTTCCTTCAACAGTATACAGTATTTTGTAAGCCATAAATCCCCCGAATAGTTTTAATCAGCATTTGTTTAGTCTTGGTTCCATGACAATGAGGTACAGGCTATAAACCTTGTTTAATACACGCATGCTCAATGAACTATAGGCATGCAGTTTTTGAAGGGCCAAATCTAGTTTGTTTGCTTATTTTCATTTTTATCATGAGCTATATTAATTATTCATTTGGGAGAGGTATATCACTGGCTTTTGTGAAAAGCTCAAGGAACATGGACAGTGGAACTCAACATTACTTTTCATTAAATCATATGTTATAAAATCTTACCATGTATTCCCTAAAAACTGTAATAAAAGAGATCACCTTCAAGAAATAGCCTTATCCTTTATATATAGGTAGCAAATATCTAGCACTGGATACATTATAGCAAGTAACCTAATAAACAAAAATATTCAAATTTTACCCCATAGGCTTTTTAGAGCAGAAACTGATAGTATAGATTTTTACCACCATTATTATTTTATAAAAAGGGCTTAAGATGAAGAGGTGTGAATGCAACTTGTTTCTTTAATTTGAGGCTATAACTCATAATGGATGTGAGTTGGGTTATGTATAGAAATGGTAATTCTTAGGAAACAGTGAATGCAATTGACCAAGAACTATGGCTCACCAGGGACAGGACACTGATCTAAAATAATAAGTTAGTAGAAATCTCCATTCTTCTTTCCTTATTCCTACTGACTTTTGTAGACAGCCAGGGTCTGTATGATTTTAACACTCTATCTTGACACATTCTGGTACTGATTGAGGGATGTAAGAAAAAAGGATTAAAAATCTTGCAAAATGTCATAATTAAGTCACCTGATTTTTATATCCACTTTTCCCTTTATTTGCAGAATAAAAACTGGTGGATCAGTATCTATGAAACCTTCCAAAGATGACAAAATAAAAAATGATATAATTTAAGCTCTAATATTTTTTTGCTTGTCACCAATATACTAAGTACAAGAGTACTGTATTAAAAATGAGATTAATAAATGTAAATAATTGCTGCATGCATTAAAATTCTGATAATTTCATGAATCAAAAATATAAAGACCCTAGTAAAATCTATTTGGGATCTAACACTGAACCACAGGGAAGAAGTAAGCATCACTCTAGATCTGAAGGGGACTAGAAAAAGCCCTATCAGTTTGGGTTTTCTTTTTGTTTTTCTAGTGGTGAAGAGAGAAAACACACATTCAAATATGAATCCTAGATGATAAGAAATACTATTTTAAAACTTCAGACAAATACTAGTTTTTGATGGTCAGTAGTTTAAAAAAATTAAATTCCAGTACTACAAATGTAAATTGTCCCTATAAGACAGGGAAAGGAGATGCAGCTGAAGTTAAGATAGTTACAAGGAGATTTTTCTAAGCTTTAGTTGAAGGAGGATTTCTATAAAAGATGGAAGAAGAGGCTACTAGAAATGAACAAACAGAAAATAATCTGATTCCTTATAAAAAGAGTGCCAGGAAGGCAAATGTTCCATTGAGGCTTATGAAAAACCTGAAGACAGAGCTTCTTTAAAAAAAAAAATAACATAAGAAAGTAGAAACATACAGCTTCAAAAATATTTTAGGTTTTTCCTGTATGGAGTAAGTCTTCAAACTGGGAAATTTAAAAAGAAGTGTTTCTTGACATAAGGGATGACTAAGACCCACCTTGTGGTCTCTTTGAATGAGCAGAATGATTTTAGGAACTGAACAAACTTTCTGGAAATTATCTTAGGGTCACTGTCAGAATCCCTCAAGACTTATGGCTTGAAGAGAGGTCTCTTATCCAAACAAACAATACTCTGCATGGGTTCTAAGAGAACAAAATGATAAATCTGTTATAGACACATAGAAAAGTTCTAGAATAGAGTATTATTGGGAAGAGTTTCATTTTTTAATTTCAACAGAAGGACCAACATGGATTCAATAAAAATGAAGCATTTTAAGCTGGCCTTTTCTTTCTGGACGGTATCTCTAGTTTGGGAGATAAGAGGAAAGCCAAGAGCAGCATGCCTTGCATATGATGAAATTTTGTATGATATCTTTTTGAATAAAGTACTGTACTAGTTCCCATACACTTGGCAAGGGGACCCTAAAAGGAAACAAGGTATACAGATGAAGGTAACCAGAATAGTGAGTTATCTAGAACTCATGTCAGAAAGTTAAGGTGATTATG